GGAAACGATAATTATTTTTTGCTGTTTCTTTTTCTAATTAAGTCAGAAATACATTTTTTTTCTGGACTACATTAAAGGTTTTTCTAATACGGTACAGCAAAGTAACTATTAAAAGTTGATAGAGTACTATTCTATAATGAAATACATCCTGAGTACATTAAAGACACAGTACCCAGTAAAAAATAAAAAATGCTTATAAACATATTTGCTAGGTCTCTAAAGACAGTGGTGATACCACAGGAATTGGGAAGGGATCTATGATTTGCCTCTCCAGTTAATGTGGGCAGAGCCAAAGAGATATGAGCATATTTTACCTGTAGAGAGGGAATATCTTAAACACCCAGCAGGTAATAAAAAGTATAAATTTGTAAAGGATAAGAACAGAAAACAAGTAGATAACACACATACGCAAGAAGACCCTCTGTTAAGTGTCCTCGTCTCTGCAGCCCCATGTAAATGCCGTCCAAGACATGTGACAGCCTTGAGAAATGTTATCAACAGCTCTGAAATTTGCACTGTGCCTCTGACCAGCCATAATGTCATCATCCCTGAGTGCTAATTTGGGATTTATAGCTGAAACCCTGTCTGTCCTGCCAATGGGATTGTTGCCATTCCCTGAAGCGCGGCCAGGCTCTGGCCATGAAAAGCGGTGCCGCTGCGGTGTCGGTGCCACACGCCAGCACACACAGCCCTCTCCACATTTATGCCTGACGTGCCCCCCTGAATAACCACATGTAAAAAAGTGGAATCAAAAAAGCAGCGTTTCATCTTCTGTAGAAGTACGCTGCAGCTCAGAGAGGCAGCTCTGGGAATCTGGAGATCCGGCCTCTCAGCTCCGGCTTTGCCAGACAACTACAGCAGAACTTTGTGCAAACCGATTAATTTCCTCAACTTCTCCAAATGGAAAAACACCCCTCCTATAAACGTCTGAAGCTGGCTCAACCAATACTTTTAAAGCGTCTTTTTGATTCTCCAATGCAAGGCTCTTCCTATAATTGTTCTTAGAGCACTGACTTTGGCCGTATTTCTATGGTTAAAGACTATAAATCATTATTCAGTGACCAGATTTTTGCTGCGATATGAGCCAAGAGACCCAAGGACTTGCTCTCAACAGGAGAATTTCAGCCACCAGCTTTTTCACTGAATTTCACTGAATTTCAGAGTTGGAAGGGACCATAGAGATCATCTAGTCCAACTCCCCTGCTGAAGCAGGATTGCCTAGAGCTTGTCAGAGCACATCACTCAGGACTGCATCCAGGCGGGTCTTGAAAATCTCCAAAGAAGGGGACTCCACACCCTCCCTGGGCAGCCTCTTCCAGGGCTCTGTCACCCTCACCGTGAAGAAGTTTCTCCTCATATTTGAGTGGAACCTCTTATGTTCCAACTTGTGCCCGTTGCCCCTCGTCCTGTCACTGGGAACCACTGAAAAGAGTCTGGCTCCCTCCTCCTTCAACCCTCCCTTGAGATACTTGTAGGCGTTGATAAGGTCTCCCCTCAGCCTTCTCTTCTCCAGACTAAAGAGTCCCAGCTCTCTCAGTCTCTCCTCATAAGGGAGATGCTCCAATCCTTGAATCATCTTTGTTGCCCTTCGCTGGACTCTTTTTAAGAGATGCACAACAGTAACCAGTTTACTGTAAAAACAGAGGTTTCTACAGAAACCCCATCAAAGCTGCGGAACGCTTTCATTTCTTGTCCCATCAACCAGAAAATTGGAAATAGGTAAGGGGCTTCTTCGTGCCCCGGCCTGTACACAGCGCTGAGGCTGCAGGTGCTTTCAGGAATATCAAAGCTTCCATAAATACGGGAAACGGCCCCGGCGAGGCAGGGGGAGAGCAAAGCTCAGCTCTCCTGAGAGCCTGAGGCTGGCTCCACTGCTGCATCTCCTCTCTTCCCAAAACCAGCCTTTGGCTCTTTCCCAAATTCTTTTACATAATCCAGTTCTGTTACCGAACATGTCAGTTTAACCAGGATTCAAATCAACCTCCTCTATGTTTTGAATTGGATTTTCAAACTCCGAGCAGGATTCTGTGCCTCAGCTGCCAATTTTTTTATTTCTTTTTCTTTGCAGTGGCACTCAAGACCGTTTTGGATATATAAAATCAGACAGAAATCAGATAATTTAGTGACTATATCAAATTACTGCATTTATTATGTCCCAGTCAGCTTATTAACTAAGCTGCTTATCCTCTGAAGACCTAAATTGCAAGCTTGGTCAACGGAAACTCGCCCTTCAGTGGAGGTGGCTGTGCAGTCCTGCACAGGGAGGGAGGGCAGCAGCACAAACACAGGCCAGGACTGAAATATTTCACAGCATTACGTTAAGAAGTTGGCACACTGCGCTTTTATTTCTTGATAGAGCTGCTTATTGGCAGGAATAGCACGCAGTCACAAAGATTATAAAAATCTCTTGGGGAATATATTTGCGCAAACTTGTTTCTTTTGCATTTTTCTTTAATTTCTTTTCTTCCTCATGCTCTTGGTTATTCTCTTTCCCCACTTCTCCCTCACCAATACTGTACGATTTTACACCTTCTACAAGAGAAGCACAGCGTTACCAAATTTTTCACAAAATTTAGGGGTTGAAGTAAAAATCCTGACCGTAACTTTAGAAACACAAGTGGAGATTATTTGTACTTTGAAGCTGAAAACTTTGGTTGCCTCTCACTCACTGTGTTTGGCTCAGGGAATTTTTTGGTAATAAACCAGGAGGACCACAGAAGGAAGCCCACCATCCACAGCTGTGTCTTTGTGAAACTCAGGGCGTCCTGACTATTGCAAACCTCGACAGAAAATAAACATGCCTGAACCTGGGCAAACAAATGCATTCCAAGCTATGAGAGCTCAGACCTGCGGTCACATTAAATTAATAAAAGTAATGTATTTTTCAACTCTGCTGTCACCTCTATAACCTACTTAATTGCATATACATTTCCATGCCCTCATTTTACGAAGATTTGGCTATTTAATACTAGAATCATTAAAATCTGGCTTTCAAACAAAAATGTGTGGCTCCTAGAAAATGCTAAATGAATTTTAGAAAAAGATAACTGGTTAATTCTGACTAACCATATGGAGATGTGCCCCGACAGTGGCAGAGCGGGAATAAAGACAGAAAATGGAAGGCTCTTGGGTGAAGTACACCTAAAAGGAGAGAAAGCGCTACATTATAATTGATTATATAACGAGAAAAGATTAATATTGTAACCTAAATAGACACAATTCTGCTGAACATCTTCTCTTTGTTTTTTTAAAGCAGGACAGTTTATTTTACAACTCTAAGAATTTTAAGTTATTCAGAGTGGATTTCATGGGTTTTATGCCCTACTTTAAGTCCCTGTGAATGATGAATAGACACAGATCTTATCTGACTCTCTTAAAGATAAATTCTCGGCATTGTTCAAACCAGGATTAAATAACATCATTATACCTTTTCTCTTCTCTTTCTTCCTAGTTCTGCAGAAGATTTGAAAAAAGTGATGTCTTGATTGATGTGAACTCACAAACCTATCCTGAGCAGAAAATCTAGGATTTTATCACCAAAGACAGAAAAAATAGGTTATTACTCTCACAGTTCAAGGATTTTTCTAGCAGATGCAATGGTGATCTTGACACAATTTACAATCAAAATGACATGCATGCTGCTGGTTTAGTTTTACGCATACAAATAACATTTAAATACTTTATATAATCATATACATTTCAGCATGAAGATAAAACAAAAAGAAATTTCCTCTTGTAACATCGTCACTGTGTAGTTTTTCTAAGATTCCCTTCTCTAAGCTTTTTCAGGAGGTTTTATTATTATTTGTGGCAAAGTCTATTCCAAAACACACATGGGATTTTGGGGTGCTTTTTCCATAGGAGGGAAGAAGACTAGAAGTCACTTGGGTGCTGTCCAGAATAGAAAACTGGAGTTAGCACTGACAGGTCAGCTACACAGCAGAGACACTGCCTACTTCTTTGGCAACCACTGCTTCTTAACTGTGTAACATTTTGTTTAACTGACACAGAACATGGACTATTAGGAAATGGCTTTGGATTGGTTTTCAGAAGTACCGCGAACAGGAAGTTTCCCAAAATACTCAATTTTTGCCTAGCAACCCAAGCCCCTATAATTAGACTCTTAGATACAGACTATAAATGATGATGAGAAGCTACAAAGAAGGAAGCCGGGGAAGAAACACTTGGTTTCGGTTTATTTACATTCTTTGCTTGCTGTTGAAGTACTGCCTTATAAACAAAAATCTACTTTACCTGCCCATACTGACTCCTGGTGAGTTAATACACCGTTTGATAAAGGGACACATTCAACAGAGTGATAGATGACTGTACAGCAATTTATAGCCATCAACAGCACCTGAGAATTAGTGTGGCACCGTGATGAAAGGAAACAGTATGGTTCTCACAGTGGTACTTTATGATTCCAGACATAATTGAGATCTATATGAAGAACTATTTATGTAACTCGGTAGAATGAGAATTTTGAACACAAAGATGTACTTTGGAGCAACACCATTTGTCAAGATAAAGTTCTGGAAAATTAACGGGAAGAATTTCTCCCGGTTTTATTTAGTGAAGTCCACGGCGTTATCTGTCCCACAGACTTAAAACAAAAAAACCTCTTTATGAGCCTGCTACAAATGACTTGATTTAAAAAAGGCTTTTGACAACCTTTGCCAATTTTCCCTCTGCGCGATTTGGGCTCTGGGGGACACCGAACGCCCCCCCTCCCCGGGGGCAGGCGGTTCCCGAGGGGGCTGCTGGCGGCGGCACACCGAGAACCGGGGCCGTGCTTTACCGGGGAATGCCCGGCCTCGGGCCACCGCCGTACCGCCTCCCCGGGGCTCACGGGCAGGGTCACCGGTGATGAGCCGATCCCCGGGCCCTCCCCCGTTCTCCCGCCGCACCGCCCGCGCCCTCCTCCGGCCGCGCTGGGGGGCGACGGCGGCCGAGGAGGAGGAGGAGGAAGGGCGGCTGCGTGTCCCGGCGCAGCTCCGTTTCCTTCCGGGTTGCGTCCCGCCGCTTCCTCCTCCTCCTCCCGGGCCATGGGGGCGGCTGCCGGCGGGGACCCTCATGCAGGGGGAGCGGCGGTGGCTCCGCTGGACCCCGGGCGCGGGCTGCCCCTGCCCCATGGCGCCGGGAGCCCTGCGGCGGCCCAGGACAAGGTCTTCTTAATCAAAGGTGCAGAACGCTCCCTCCCTATCCCCTTCCCCTGCCTGCGCGGGTGAGGGACGAGCGGCAGCGGGGAGTCCCGGGGCCGCCCCCGCAGGGACAGCGGCGGGGAGGGAGGGAGAGAGGCGTTTCCGTGCCCTCAACCTGCCGTAGCCCGAGGCCTTGCCCCGCTCTCCCGTCCCCGGGAGGAGCCCCGGCATCTGGGGACGGACGCCGTGAGGAACCCCCCGCCCGCCTTGTCCTTACCCTGCGGAGGTGGCGGTGACCGCCGCCCCTCAGACACCATCCTGGGGGCCCGAAGCGGGTGGGCCTGCGCCGGGCATCCCGCTGAGGGAAGCCGCCTCCCTCGCTCGTACCGCGGGGCAGGGGCCGCAGCGAGATGGCGGCGGAGGGGGAAGAATGAGGGAGCTCGGGGGTCCGGGCCCAGCCCCGCCGGGGCGCCCCGAAGGGTGGTGGGACGGGTTACAGGTGGCGCCGCGGGTTCCTTACGGCAGAGTGTCCGCAGCGACAGGAGCCGGTCTCCCCGGCGGAATCCCGGCCGGGGCAGCGGAGCCGCCGGGCCCCGCGCCCCCACACACACAGAGACACCGGCGGCGGTGAAGGGCAGGCGCCCAGCGCGCCGCTCCCCCTCACCGGGCGGGTTGGCGGCGCCCCCTGGCGGCGCGGAGGGTAAAGCTCTCCCGCCCCGTGGGTCCCTCCCGGAGGGTGAGTCCCGCCCCGCCTGCCCGTGGGACACGAGGGAATAACATCTCTTTGAACACGCTGATACACAAAGGTGCCATCCCCCGCTGCCACACGCTTTGCCCACCCCTGGCGATGCTTTTCTGCCCCTCCCGGGGAGGTCGAGCATCAAGCTCCTCCACTTCAAGGAGCAGTTTATTATTATTATTATTACCCACTTATTATTTCGGACACGAGGCAGACCTGGGTTAACAGACCTTGAAAAGCCAAATGCAGGGGGTGTGCGAAGCTCCGGCAGCATGTGAGGTCTTCCTGCTCCCAGGCAGGAGAGGTACTTGAAAGACTTCATTGACATGAGTCCAGGGAACTTCTCCATCACAATAATGGGATAATTAATTTTTAAACAGTGAGACCTAGCGTAAGCATGTCTTGCTTCTTACTTCCTATTCCGGCCGGTGTTTAATTACCTGATTGGCATCGGGGAAGGGGAAACACAGGCTGGGTATCAGTAGTTGCAAAGGAAGAACTTGTAATGCCCTGTAAAAAAAAACAAAAACAGATTTTAATATCATAGAATCATTCAGGTTGGAAGAGACCCTTGGGATCATCGAGTCCAACCATCTACCCTACTCTACAAAGTCCTCCCCTACACCATATCCCTCAGTACCGCATCTAAAGGTCCCTTAAACACATCCAGGGATGGTGACTCAACCACCTCCCTGGGCAGCCTATTCCAGTGTCTGACCACTGTTTCTGTGAAAAATTCCTTCCTAATGTTGAGTCTAAACCTACCCTGTTGGAGCTTGAAGCCGTTCCCTCTTGTTCTGTCGTTAATTACCTGTGAGAAGAGACCAGCACCAGCCTCTCTACAGTGTCCTTTCAAGTAGTTGTAGAGAGTGATGAGGTCTCCCCTCAGCCTCCTCTTCCTCATATTAAACAGTCCCAGCTCCTTCAGCTGCTCTATATATGATTTGTCTTCCAGGCCCTTCACTAATTCCGTTGCCCTCCTAATATGGCTCAGGTGGTTCATCCAGTGCACTCACTCTGTAACGAGCCTTTTTCTTACAAGTTGTCTGGTGTGGATGGCTACGTGTGTCTTGCTGATGCCAGAACTGGAAGGGATCAAGGGACCCCGAGGGACTTTGTAAAACACTCTGAAAGAACTGAGAAGTGCAGGAAAACTGTCTGGGAACTGTCTTTCTGTCTTGGGAAAACACCCCACTAGTGTCATTTTCTCTTCTTAAATAGAGCCTTAGAACGTAAAACAGAGAAAGCTGAAGAACAAATGTTGGTTTTCTGAGGTACTGGTGGATTTTCTAGCGGGCGTTCAAAATAACAAATGCTGCAACAAAAAGAATTACATCTTCCTTTCAGGGCAGGGGGAGACGTAACCGCAGAACAAGATGAGTTTAGTGGCTGCTCTGGAGCGAGAAGGGCTGTGGGGGGAGCAGTGGAAATTCGGGAGTACTGTCAAAAGGCATCCTGGCATTTCACTGATTTCATTATTTATTTATTTATTTTGCTTTGCGTAGTAGTTGGAAGATATATACACTTGCCATTGATTTTCAAAGTGCTGTATTTCAAAGTATTCTTGCTTGCTTGCCGTATTGAGTTAACGTAAATAATGTGGATAACTGTGCCTCTCCCTTCAGCATGTGCTGACAGATCTTAATTTTTAAGGTTTTAGTTCCAAAACAGGTTAGAAAAAAAAAAAATAAATCTTGATTTTTATTTCTTAAACTTTTCTTGGCAGGTGGCATTTTTCTAGGTACCGTTGCTGCAGCAGGAATGATAGCAGGTTTTGGCACCACGCTTGCCATGACGAAAAAGAAGAACCCGGACTGGTTCAGCAAGGTTTGTTGCTTTTAAACTATTTTCCAGCTGTGATACACAGAATCACAGAATCATCCAGGCTGGAAGAGACCCTTGGGATCATCGAGTCCAGCCATCTACCCTACTCTAAAGTTCTCCCCTACACCATATCCCCCAACACCACATCTAAACGGTTCTTAAACACAGCCAGGGATGGTGGCTCAACCACCTCCCTGGGCAGCCTATTCCAGGGAAAGAAGAACTCATCAAATGCTCTACAGAAATGTTGATGTATGTGGAGTTTGGCTGTACAAAGTTGACGGTAAGAGCACTAGACTTAATTGAAGTCAATAGGGGTAGGATTAATTTAGGAATCAGTTCAGAGTTGGTGCTGCTAAATGCTTTGGTACTTGAGATTAGTTGAAATAAAACAAAACTCACAAATTGCAAAGCCAACAATTATACCGTGTTGGTGTATTCATCTGAAATACAGCATGTTTAATTGAAGAACACTTTTTCCTTACTAATACTTTGTTACTGCAAAAATGTCAAAAATAGCCCCTTAAAGTTACTCTGTCTGGACTCCACCAAGCCTTTAAAATAAACGTATATTACAGATGTTTTTAGGGAGCTGAGAACTGATCAGTTGTGCTTATTTTTAAAATGTTAATTCAATAATAGTGCACGTCAAGAGAAAAAAAGAAATCTTCCATTGCACTTTCTATCAGAGCCTTTGTATCTGATCACTCACAATCACCTTTTGTGGTCAAAGAGCATGAGATCTTTCCTTTGCCGTCCTGTTTTCTCCGTAGGCTGCCATGGCATAACTCATCCATTGCCTTTTCAGCAGTAATAAACACAGGTTTATTTTTTAATATAGGTAAAATAGAAAACTCCACAAGAAGTTATTTTACAAGCTATAGAAATGTATTACGATCGGGAAGTTTTCTCCCTTTTTTTTTTTTTTAACATCTTTGGGGTTTTTTTTTAAACTTCCTTTTTTTCCTGAGCATTGCATTTTTTCCAGCTCACACGTATTCTTGGCTGGCTGAGCTGTCCTGTTATCAGTGTGAAATTTATCAAGAGTGACATTACATTGACATCCCAGAATATATATGCTGGAAATGGCACCAGGTGATACATACCATTTCGATTTTTGCTGAAAACCTGTATCTGCTGCTATATCTGCAAATTAATTACAACAGTTTGCTAGCAAAAATCTGTGATTCTTGGGCCCCTCAACTTAAATACTGCAAAGTGTAGGAAGGTGCTTTTTTTTGTTTTTGCCAAGGTACTTGTAGGTGAGCAATTTCAAAAGGGAAGGACAGACTTTGACAATGACTTAACTGTCTATAGGGGCTCTCTGAGGTTTTCTCACCGCTGAGGTAAGCGGTTTTGCTGTCACGTTCTTACTGAAATCTATAGTTACATCCTGCAAGTCGTTGCCTGTTATTTTTAAAAACACATCTTGTATAATAATAAAGGTGTAACGATAATACTACGGAATAACTACGGATGATTGCATCCTTCTTAAATGCTCAATGCCTAAATGGTGTGTTTTTTAAATCCAGATTAAGGTGAGGCCATAGTTTGACAGGTACTTTAAGCAAACATAAGATGACATTGCTGTTGAAAGAACTCATCCTACCAGCCCTTGGTTTCTGGCCATTCATTCCTGCCCCTTGTGCTGCTGGGTTGGTGAGGTCATACTGGTTAATTCTACTTTCCTTTTTTCTTGCCTCAGTTTTAGCCCAAATCAGTCTTCTGATGCCCTTTACTGCCTGACTGCAGTGACTGTGCTGGCCCAAGGCTGGGGGAAGGTCCAAAGGAGTGACAACTGATGCTCCACGGTGGGCAGAAACACAAGACCTATTCTTTCAGCATCTTGGCTGGCTTGTGCCAGGTTTTGTGTCAGTGAAATGGGGGCATGCAAGTCAGAGTAGAAACAGGAAGCAAGCCTGGGACAGATTAAAATAGTTTTATGGGAGGAAAAATAGCAATTCAGAGGGGAAGCTGGAGCATCGTGGCTTCATGACTGCGTTCAGACTTCCAGGAAGCAACACTATGGGACCCTGCTCTTGCACAGTCACATCAGGGTTAGTGACAAGAGATAAAGCTGAAATTGCACCTACTGTACCTCCTCCGTGGTGGCAAAGTTGAGTACATGTTGTGAGCATTTGTAGAGCTGGTGCCCAAATTGACTTGAAACTGAGATTACACAGTCTTCTTCAGTGATGAAACACTGCAGAGACCTTCAGTTAAGAAATTATTTGTGTGTGTGTTTAAAATTAAACACTCAGATGCAGCAGCCTCCTTGTAGTAAATGTCCTGTTACACCAGCATTTATCCAGGTGTTTAATTTGACAATGGGTTAGGTCATACAAAACAAGGAACACGCTGAATGCAATCAACCAAAACAGCTGAACACATCATTTATTTTAGGCACTGCTTCCTTTCAGACACCCCCTTACCCACAAGGGAGTAGTTACAGGATTGAGGTCTGTGTATGAAATAAACAACGTCGTTTCTCCTTCTCTCGTTTCCTGCTGATATCCTCCAGAAAAAAATAAAAATTAAAGAAGCAGCATATCTTTTGGTAACCAAATAAGCTAATTCTGCCCTAGATTTTCCTGGCCTGAATTTTAGTTTCAAGAATTGTTTGATAGCTTATTTTTTAATTTAAAAGAGTTGCTTTCTTTTAAAAAATACAGGAGCAGTAATGAAGAGAAAACCATCTGTGCATAGAATAACAGGCTTGTGAATAAAACTCAGTTCTCTTAAAAATGTTCTTTTGTTGGTGAAATCTTTTTCTCTACTGTTGTCTTTTAAAATTTTTTAGCATTTCATTAATCAGCTTTCTTGATGCTCTGAACAGCATATCTGATAATCATATAACAAACTGTCTTGTTTACAGAAATCCTTATCTGTGTACTTAATACCCTGAGGAATCAGCCCGTGACGGAACACTGTTTGACTGCTGTCAGTAAAACCAGAACAATTGTTTCCATTTACCACTTTTTTTTTTTTTTTTTCTGGGGCAATCAAGCATTTAAATAGTATTTGGGTGGTAGTTTTGTTTTTTTTTTCCCCCAGCAATTTGCCCAGATAATGACTCCTATTTAAAGATTCTGTGTGGAGGATATTTTTGTCCATTCGTTGCCCATCTTCCAAATAGGAGAAATTCTTGTGCGTGTTGTTGTATATGTTTAAACTATGGAAGCAGGAAAAATGTCAGAAATAATCATCAGCATTTTAAAGCTACTCAAAGCAGGCTCTCCTGAAAGAGTTATGAAAGTTCATTAGCTGTGGTAAGGAAATAATAGGACCTGGTATAATAGTGTGACTAGAGAGCTCTGCTGTTTGTGTCTCTGTGCATGTAAGTGTGTGCTTACAGAGCACTGTTCTGTTAACAGCTTCCACTTTGGGATGTCCAAATCAGAATAAATGAGGATCAAGATACATTTTGCTTGCGTGTATTTGTGCTTGGGTAACTGTGCCTACAGCTGAATCCTAAGGAAAAGTAAAATGTCAACGCTGAGGACTGTCTGAGAATCATTTTAATAAATACAAAGCCAAGAGGGGGAAAAGCTACTGGTGCTATTTCACTGACCAGATCCCATAGTGATAGGCACTACATACGTTTAGTTATATCAAAGAAAAAAGAGAACCAATTGGTTTTTTAATTGCTAAAAAAAATGTGAAGTCTTTATAAAGCCAAGAATACAAAAGGGTGTTTTCCCACTTTTTGTGATGAATAAAAAAGTGCAGCTCTTCGGCATGTTTGAAAATTTTTGGATCCTTCTGCAAGTAAATTTCACTTAGCAGTATTTTAGACTATAAATGAAATAATTCTTTATTGACTATATTTGCTTGCAGTCTCATTTATGTTTAGCTCTGAGCAATAATTTTGTTTTTTTTTTTTTCCCCAAGATACCCAATAAGTAGGACTTTTCAGTTGTGTAAGGACCGTAGATGCCAGTCTTCAAGAGTTACCATCTGAAATCTCTGTTTCCACGTGAAAAATTGAACAGGGATCCTTTAGGGAAAAAAAAAAAAACCCAAGCCCTCTTGCTGACATTGACCTCTATGACCAAGAGGGTTATGTCTGTCTGACTGCTGTTGTGGGCTACACAGATTGAAGCTGTCTAGAGCAAATAGGTGCAGCGAGGTGGGCGTTGTGAGATGAGAATGGCTGGCTGATGGTGAAGGTGTGGTGTGAATCCATTGAAACCATTGCAGTGGGAGCTGCCACCTGCATTCATGTGCTGGGACAGAGAAGGGTTCACCGTAGCTGGGACCCCATCACAGCTGAGGTTATGCTCTTCTTAGCCTGAGTTGGCTTTTCTAAATGGTAGGACTTTTCAGTTGTGTAAGGACCGTAGATGCCAGTCTTCAAGAGTTACCATCTGAAATCTCTGTTTCCACGTGAAAAATTGAACAGGGATCCTTTAGGGAAAAAAAAAAAAACCCAAGCCCTCTTGCTGACATTGACCTCTATGACCAAGAGGGTTATGTCTGTCTGACTGCTGTTGTGGGCTACACAGATTGAAGCTGTCTAGAGCAAATAGGTGCAGCGAGGTGGGCGTTGTGAGATGAGAATGGCTGGCTGATGGTGAAGGTGTGGTGTGAATCCATTGAAACCATTGCAGTGGGAGCTGCCACCTGCATTCATGTGCTGGGACAGAGGAGGGTTCACCGTAGCTGGGACTCCATCACAGCTGAGGTTACGCTCTTCTTGGCCTGAGGTGGCCTTTTCCAAATTACAGCATTTTGTGGTTTTGGGCCATGTTTCATGGTAGGCTTTTAAGCTGCAGGATCTTAGCAAGTGGGTTAAAACCTCCTACTCTTGGTTCTGACAAAACTGAGAAGTGTGGAGACTGCAGAGCACTTTCTACATTCGCACTTGGTGAGCTCTGCAGGGGAATGGGGTGCAGTTTGTTCTTTACAGGATTTTCCTAAATGGTTTCCAGAGCCCCTTCAGAGTTGCAGCCCCTCAAAATTAGTTTCTCGGTCACTGTTACACCCTCTTTGTGTCAAGATGAAAGCCACTCAGCCCTAGTTTCCTAACCTGCTATTTCAGGAATGCAGATAAAGACACCTGTATGGTCTTTATGGTTGCTTATCACCCTCACCGTCCCAAGAAAAGGTACCAAAATCAATGACGTACAGTGATTATCTTCTGATGCCACTGGCTGGTGAGCTCTGCAGGGGAATGGGGTGCAGTGTTGTTGTTTGTTCTTTACAGAATTTTCCTAAATGCTTTCCAGAGCCCCTTCAGAGTTGGAGCCCCTCAAAATTAGTCTCTCAGTCACTGTTATACCCTCTTTGTGTCAGGATGAAAGCCGCTCAGCCCTAGCTTCCTAACCTGCTATTTCAGGAGTGCAGATAAAGACCTGTATGGTGTTTATGGTTGCTTATCACCCTTACTGCCCCAAGAAAAGGTACCAAAATCAGTGACGTTCAGTGATTATCTTCTGATGCCACTGACAGAATCACAGAATCATCTAGGCTGGAAGAGACCCTCGGGATCATCGAGTCCAGCCATCCACCCTACTCTAAATTTCTCCCCTACACCATATCCCCCAACACCACATCTAAACGGCTCTTAAACACAGCCAGGGATGGTGACTCAACCACCTCCCTGGGCAGCCTATTCCAGTGTCTGACCACTCTCTCTGTGAAGAATTGTTTCCTAATGTCCAGGGCTTGTGACTGGTTTTGATTCAGTTTTGTATTTTGACTGGTGGGATAACTGAATGTCGGATTCTTGTGCCCATGAAACAGTTGGCTTCGGCATTTCTGGGTAATGAAAATCATCCCCAGGTGGTACTGGCAACCATGAAAGCTGCTCCTGGTGGGAAGGCACCTCATCCACTCCCTTGCTTGGCTCTTTGGGTCTGCTGCCAGCCCTAACAGTTTCTGTGGGCACGTCAGTACAGCTGGCAAATCAGGAAAAAGTCTAGATCACTAAGTGAATTTTTTTTAGGGTTTTTTGTCTTGATCACTTTATTTTTTTGGTTCTAGGGGATTACTGCCACAGCTGCATTACCAGAGAGTGGTTCATCACTGGCCTTACGAGCCCTAGGGTGGGGCTCGCTCTACGCTTGGTGCGGAGTTGGATTGCTCAGTTTTGCCATCTGGAAGGCCCTGGGTGTGCACAGTGTGAGTACCAAGTGTGATCCCCTCAAATGGGGTATTTTCCCTTGGGGAATGCATCTAGGGGTGGCATCTCTGTACTGCTTCAGCCTGGGAGTTGCACCTTCGTTCACCACGTGTAGCGTGACCAGCCAGAGCGCGTGCACACAAGGAAGGCCTTCTTACATCTGGAAAAAACGGGATGTTGTGGGAGGAGACAATTTGGGGAGAGGAACAGTTTTGTCCTGCTTATGTTTATTTGCACAGATGTTTCAGATTCTTCACAAAAGAGCCAGTGTTCTAATTTAGAGACTAAAATAGTAGCTGCAAACTTTCTAAAGCCTTTGCTTATTGAATTGAAGGCTACCCCCCGAATTCTATCTTTAGACCCATCTGTTTATTTGTCCAAGTTCCATTTTTTGCATCAGGACACTGGGGACATAAGTAAAACTGAGAGGAAATGAGCTTGCTTTCTAGTGCATTTCGGGAAGGGGCAAGGGGGCAAAAGCTTGAGTTTCATGGCCAGTAGAATGGTTGGTCTATGACACACCACGTCAAGGCAAAGAAACTTGGGAAGCATCTGTATGTCCCAAGGGGCTAAGGCTATCTTTAGTAAATTGCTTATGTTCCAGTGTTTCACAGCATTGAGCGTGAACACTAAAGTTCATGTAAGCATTTTTGTTTGCCCCTAGTAATGAGCCATGACTGAAGAGCCCCCTGCAGCTATAAGTTTGTTTTGTTTGCCCCTAGTAATGAGCCATGACTTAAAGAGTCCCCTGCAGCTATAAGTTTAGCAGAACTGTCTGCATCCTCTTTAGGACTAGGAATGAATAGACTTCCTTTAACTTGTATAGCAAATTCTATATTCAGCAAAGCGTCTCCCAGAGCTAAAAGGAAGAAGATACCACTCCATCCCAGTGCTGTTCTCATTAATACCTTTGTTCAAGTTCTCACCTCTTGTCTACTCTGCTGATGGATCCTGTAGGTCATGATTTGGGTCCCAACACGCAGCGCTACACAGTCCCTTATTCCTTAGTTTCTCAATAGGAGCCACTAAAGAAGGCAGAACACAAAAAAAAAAAAACTTAGCAGGGCATAGGAGGCATCTACAACACATTTTGTTTAAACTCAAGTCCTCCTTGTGAGGCTGTGGTGGAATGGCAGAGAAGGGGGAAGAAGAGTGGGAGTACCAGCTTATGCTGAGCTGCACCAGTCCACTCAGTTCACTGTCACTTCGTCAGCCAAAAGGATTCATTTCACACTATGCTGCCAATTCTTCTTTTCATTCCATCAGAGTGCTGCTGATCCTGCCAGAGGATAGCAGAATCTGACCCTAGTCTGCAATTTATGTTAGCTCTTTCTCGGTAAGCCTAATTTTTACTTCCTTGAGAAGTTCTGGCCGAGACCCACGGTTGCCTGGTTTCTCCATGAGGCTGCTTTCCTTGGGACTGCCCAACGGGGAACAACCACATAAAGCTGAGGTGGCCGAGCCCCAGGACATGTCAGAATTTGGTGGGGGCTTCTGGCTACCTGAGAGCAGTGGCTGTTGGCTCAGAAGCCTACAGCACACTGCAAGGCATTTTAGAGATCATTCATAGTCAGAAACCTGCACCTTATTGTATTCTGGGTTGTGTTAGTGTTGAAAGGAGATGGGGAGATGGGGAAAACTGTACCTTAGGGGCTTTTGCTTCAAATTGCCACCGCAGAAGGGAAACGTACAATAGTGCCCCTCCTTACTGCAGAATCAAAAATTAGCTTTTGTAAATTTCCTGGCACACATTTATTTTTCCTGTTATACTACCTATGTGTTAAAATCATATATATATATATGTTTATAATTACCAGAGGTACAAAAGCAGAAGTGTATTAAAAATGAAATATTCTGACTAAAGAGAAGGGGTTCATTAGCATTAAATATATATTTTCAGAATGATTAATCTTTTATTTTTTATTATTGTTGACTTTTTTTGCATACTGCTTTAACATAACACTCAGGAGCAAACACCGACTGTTGAAAGACAGTATTTTTGTTCTTAAGTATAACTTTCTTGAACAGTGGAGATTAAATAAGAATTATAAGCTGGCCAGTACATTATTTGTTCTGGACTCTTAAACATATGCTCATTTTAAGAACGGCCTGTTTATTGTATTTATTTTCCTATTTCAGGGGAACACTGTGATACTTTTGAAAATTCTTAATTGGTATCATGTAAGCAGAGATAATAGATTAACAGTCAGTTAAAATACTGATTTTTAAAAACACATATGAAAACATATGTTGTGTCTAATAATTATCAGAAAGCCACAAAAATGAAGTTTTATTTGTGGGAAACTACTTACTGAAGTTATCACTGATTGGAATAAAGTTTCTTTCCACATAAACTACTCAGACCACAGAAAACATTATAGATTTTACACTAAGCTCACTCATTTCAAATGAACGCTTCAAAACAAACATTTTAATTTCAGTTAAACATTTTAAAAAGAGGCTCTCACAGATTTACCTGAATAAAAATGCCTTGAGTCCTCAGTGGGGTTGAGCGCTGTGAGTTCGTTTGCTCTGTAGTACATGGAGGTTCCCAATACCTGTAGAAGTTCAAGTCACAATTTCAAACTCAGTGTCAGACATCAAGGTTTGAAAACTATAAACTTAAGGCAGAGTTTCACCTCTGAGAGTGCTGTGCTATTTGTGACCTGAGGGGAGAACTGACTCATTTTGATGCCAGGAACCTGTGTGAACTTAATAACTAAAGCTTTGGCAGCTGGACAAAGAGAAGAAGAGGTTCTGCCCAGCCTTTTCACCTTACTGCCTCTAACGGTAACCACCTGCCTTTGGGACCTGCTAATTAGTGATCTGGCCCTGCTGAGCAGCAGCTTCATTTGTTTAAGAGCTACTGGTAATATCGATAACGTTACTGACAGCTAATATAGTCTCTTGATATTAAATTGTGAAGCATAATAAAATTCTGACTGTAAGCACTGCAGATTTTTCATTTAGTAAACAAGAAAGCTGCTTCTGTCACATGTAGGAGTCCATTAATTCTGACACTTTCTCAGATCCCTTGCCAGCTCTGTCCTTGTGACTATCTTGGTGGGATGTTAGCAAATAAAGTGCTGACCTTCACTTGCAGGCTTTGGAGGGGGGTTCCGAGTGAGGTAGAACTGAGTTGCTAAGTGTTGTTTAATGCCTCATGTCATCTCACAGAATCAAAGAATGATATGGGGTTGGAAGGGACCTCTGGAGATCATCTAGTCCACCCCCCCTGCCAAAGCAGGTCGACCTAGAGCAGGTTGCACAGGAACATGTCCAGGCAGGTTCTGAATGTCTCCAGAGACGGAGACTCTACCACCTCTCTGGGCAGACCCTTCCAGGGCTCTGCCACCCTCAAAGTAAAGCAGTTCCTCCTCATGTTTAAATGGAATTTCTTGTGTACAAGTTTGTGCCCATTACCTCTTGTCCTGTCCCTGGGCACCACTGAAAAAAGATTGGCCCCATCCTCCTGACATACATTGACACAAATTAAGTATAGGCGTTGATCAGATCCCCCCTCAGTCTTAGAATCATAGAATGGTTAGAGTTGGAAGGGACCTTAAAGATCATTGAGTTCCAACCCCCCTGCCATGGGCAGGGACACCTCCCACCAGACCAGGTTGCTCAAAGCCCCATCCAGCCTGGCCTTGAACATTTCCAGGGATGGGGCCTCCACGACTTCTCTGGGCAACCTCTTCCAGTGTCTCACCACCCTCACAGTAACGATCAGAACGCTATTGAGCAGTTCCACTCTTGCCTGACCAGCCCATGGAGATGGCTGAAGTTGGTGCACACCAGAGCTTGGGCTGGCTTGACAGGAGGAGGAGGACAGCAAAGCTTATCGGTGAATTTGGAGAAGCACAGATGCTCTTTGTGCTTTGCACTCTGCTCACGTTAGCCATGCCCTGCTTTGAAATGATGGTCTGTTCCATTGATAGGAACTGTCCTAACTCGTACGTCAGCGTAACCGCTGTGAGTCCACAGTGATCGTACTGGCATCTGCAGGAAGAAGTGAGGACCACACCTGGAAGGGTAGAGCTAACCCGGCAGCACCTGTGGCAAGAAGCCTGTGTTATTTTTCACACTGGCAGTTTTAATTGTTCTATAATGACCTGGTGTTGCAGTAGTGGCAAATGGTGTTGCCGTTAGTTGGAGTCCCAGAAGAGTGGTGCCACTTGGTATCGTTGCCAAAATGCCAAGATTATTAATGCTCAGGGATGTGTTTCCTGTGAGCATAAATTATCGACGGGACAGTGAGTGATTGGTAAAAATACGTATTACTCTAAGCTTTGTGACTGTTTAAATTAGCTTGTCATCACTTGCAAAATCAGAGATGAAATGACAAGAGCAAACTGGCACGATTTTTCCTTGATGAGTCATAATTGCTGTAATTAATCTGCGTCCGTCATTCTGAAGTGGCGTCACAATTGCTCAGCAGTTTGTCATGGAAGGAAACTGAAGCCCCAGTTCAGGATGCTTTGTCCTTACACCTTCAGAGACAGCCTGTGTTTGCCGTAGAAGCAAGTTGTTGCTTAGATCCATTCCAGGCACGGAGCTGATACACCAGCTTTGGTGCTACTAGATTTTTATTTCATCTTTGTGGTTTATTGGTTCTTAAAGCAGTGCTGTGACAATGCCAACTTCCAGCTCTTAAATGGCTTTATTGTTAAAGGTGGTTCCCTGTAGTTTTAGTGTCTGCTGCTTTTTATGCCAGTGTGAAAACCCAGGGGTGATAGTAACTAACTGATCTTTATATCTTGGTAAGGGATATAAAAGATTTTACGCTGTCTCAGGTTGGGTTGTGAATATCCCCTGACTCTAGTTACCACTGTTGTAATCTGAGGACAGGCTGGTAAGTAATAAACCCTACTAAATTCCAGTCAACTCTTACTCCTAAACAGAGAAGTGATGGATCAGTGAGGACTTGATTTGGTAATTGTTTAAGTTCTATTTTTCAATAACATAAAAGAGAAATTTTCATCTTCAGAACGTAGGA